GGACTGAGTGCTCCAACCCACAGGCTCATCCCCCGAATGCCCCAAGCAGCCTCCAGCTGGGGCTACAGCCAAGCACCAAAGCTGGGAGTCCAATGCAGGTACTTCGATAAGGGCCGAGTACGTCCCAGCTGGCACCTTAACCAGGAGGATAAATGCCCACCGGCCAGGTCATATATGAGAGTGTAAGTTTCCTGATAGAGTGCGTGAGCTGGCATATCGCATATGAATTGGAGAAAGAATTCATAGAGATCCGGGGCGTTTTTTTTTTTTTAAAGATTTATTTAGCTTTATTAGAAATGTAGATCAAATTTACAGAGAGAAAGAGTGGCAGAGAGAAAGATCTTCCAACCGCTGGTTCATTCCCCAAGCGGCCGCAATGGCCAGAGCTGAGCCCATCTGAAGCCAGGAGCCAGGAGCTTCTTCTGGGTCTCCCACATGGACATAGGGTCCCAAGGCTTTGGGCCATCTTCTACTGCTTTTCCAGGCCACAGGCAGAGCGCTGGATGGGAAGTGGAGCAATTAGGACACAAACCGGCATCCACACAGGATCCCAGTGCTAATAAGGTAAGGATTTATACATTGAGCCATCCTGCCAGGCCTCAAAGCACTTTAAAACAAACAAAACAAAACAAAATGTATTCATTAATATTTAATAAAAAAAAGATAGGGATTTAATGGCTTCCATTCATTTTATCCCAGTAAAAACCAAGAACCATTTTTCTAAACTCTTGCTGCACTGAGAGGAGCCTGTTAAATGTTAACATGATTAATTCCACAATGCATTTGTGAATTTGTGTGTTTTTTCTTTTTTCTTTTTTTTTTTAACTGGGGAAATATTTCCCCTGAGCCATGATTTGATGCTTCATGGCTATACTCCTAGGCCGAGTCTTAGAAGTGTTATCTGACATGTAAGGTAGCAGAATATTTGGGGCTGTGGGGGGATCAATAATACTGTTGACATACCAGCAATTTTTAAAATGAAGAAAAACTCAATCGAGGGGCACCACTGCCTTCTATTTATGGATTCTGGGTTGCAACAGCTGGAGCCGGTGTACCCAACTCAAGCCTCCTCATCCCACTCACCCCAGGCATGACAAGGACCCCTAACTGCACGGCACACACATGCAGCTGAGAGAGGCAGACCCCACCCATTTGCTTCCGCACAGCAGCCTACACTTGGCACAGACAGGTTTATGAAGGGGACAGACAGAAGAGGATTATATGGAATTACGGGAAAGCATGAACTCCCTGGGCTTTGTGAGGGTGGTGGCCAGCCTGAGCATGGGGGAGGATCCAGGGCCTGGGAGACCCTGATGGAAGGCCCAGTGTCAACTTGTGCCCTGCCTAAGGGAGTGGCTGGTGCGACCACCTTCCTGGGACACCTGCTCTTGATTTGTGCCGTCAGGTGTGGTTTGGACAATGGCACAACACGGTCTACCATGGTTCCACCCAGCCGTCTCCAGTTCCCCCTTCGATCTTACTGTGAGAAGAAAGTGGGGGAAGGAAGAGAGTGGACCATGGGCGTCATCTTTTACTATCCCATCCGCTCCACTGCTACAAGAAGTGTGCGGCACGTCATGTGTGCGTGACATAGCTTCTGCAGGCAAGGGAAGCAGACGCCATGGGTTCCTTCATTTTCGTCCTTTCTCTGCTGATGTTGGAACAAGATTCGGGCAAATGTTGGGTCCCGCATAGAACATTTGGGGGCAGGCACTACATCCTCTGTTCAACAGTGGTGTCCCTGGACGTAGGCCAAGTTTGGGTAGGGCAGGTGCAGATCCCTAATGACTAGAGCGTGAGGGTACTGGGAGATCATGAAGTCTAGCTCCTCCTGAAGCTGTAACGTGTTTGTCTCGGTATGTGTTCTGCCGCTAGAACCCAAGCCCTGAGATCTTGTGTAGACTTGTGGCTCCCTGGGCTGCTGGTTCTGCTCTCCGCCTCGTGCTGTGGCACCACATGGCAGGACAGGGCCAACGGCTAGCCCAGGCTTTCCTTCCTCTTTTATTATTTTTTTTAAGATTTATTTCTTTTTATTGTAAAGGCAGATTTATAGAGCAAAGGAGAGACAGAAAGATCCTCTACCCATGAATTCACTCCCCAAGTGGCCACGATGGCCAGAACTGAGAGGTTCTGAAGCCAGGAGCCAGGCATCTCCTCTTGGTCTCCTACTAGTTCAGAGACCCAAGGACTTAGGCTGTCCTCTGCTGCTTTCCCAGACCACAAACAGGGAGCTGGATGGGAAGTGGAGCAGTCAGGATGCAAACTGGCACCCATGGGAGATGCTGGTGCTTGGAGGTGGAAGACTAGCCTGTTGAACCATCACACGCCCTCCGGGGCTCTCATTCTTAATGACCTTGTCTATTGCTGATCACCTCGCAAAGGCCCCACTTCCAGAATCCACTGGCCAGCGAATCTGAGGTCTACGTCTCCAAGGCAGGAACTTTGGGGAGACATACTCAAGTCACAGCGGTCCTGCAAACAATGGGCCCCTTGCCCTTGGTCCTCACTCCGGGGCTGTGGTGAACTGGAAGTCACGGCCACCGCATCTGCACCTCCACTTGTTTCTGATCAGTTACCCGTGGCAGAAGGGATGCCCACTCAGTCCTAGTGGACTGGATGCTGGGGGGCGTCCAGTGGGACTAACACTTGTTCTCGCACCTGCTGGAAGTGCTGCTGCCCTCAGAATAGGTAGCCAAGGCCAGACAACCGCAGGGGAGGAGTCTTCCGTGTGGAGGGAATTCAAGTCCATGACACTTCACAAGGAAGAACGGCGCAAGGTCACTGCAGAGTACTGGCCACTAGGTGCAGGTAGTTGGGCAGGCGGAGTAGCAGGGACGTTGGAAGAGCTCTCGGAGCAGTGAGTACCTTGCTAAACGAGCAGTGAGTGTCAGGAGGCCAACTGTGAGATGGTGTTGGTGTTGGGACAAGGAAGGCGTGAAGCACCAGCCAGTGAGTGGGAGGCCACCTGTGCCCAGGAAGTGTGATGCTCAGCAGCTTTAATGGTCTGTTGGATGTGTGCATCTTTGCAACGATTATTTTGTTTGCCCATTCATTGGAATGTTGTCTAGCTTCCAGAGAGCTGTTCTGATGTAGTCTGATGTAGGAGGGTGGCTGTGGAGGGACGGGCGGGCTTCCCAGGCTAGGAGAAAAGAGGAAAGCAGAACTGTGGAAATGGAACCTCTCCACTAGCCAGCGTTTCAGCACTATAGTGGCACAGCTGAAGCACGCTACCTTACAACAGAGATTTGTCCTACTTCATGGTCTTGGAGATTCACAGACCAAGATGGGCCATGCCCTGTGGCTTGTCTGTGGTGACGGCCTTGGCAGGGGCTCGAGGTGGCACAGATAATCATGTGCAAAGACAGCACCCTTGGGTGCCTGTGTCCCCACTGCTCCCTGACAAAGGTCAGGATCCAGTTGTGGGAGCTTCACCCTTACGAATGCATCACATCTAATCATTTCCCAGCAGGACCCACCTCTAAACACCGGTTCCCTGTTAAGTGTCTATTCTAGTTGTATGACTAACAGAAGACTTTGGGGACTTAAATTTCCACACGTGAGAGGCCAGCCATTCAGATGATAGCAGAGTATATGAAGAATCTAAGTGTTTTCTGCTTTTGTAATTCCTGCCGTAATGGCTCGGCTGGGGGCTGTGTGAACTCCAGGCCTGACAGTCTATGTGACACCTGGCAGGACACCTGGCAGGACACCTGGCAGGACACCTGGCAGGTCACGTGGGCAGACCCTGCCTCAGGAAGGAGGTCCCTGGTGTTAGATAAGACCCATTACCCTATAGCCCATCAGTTTGTACCTTTTGAACATTTTTTGCTTCAAACCTACCAGTAGAAGCCTGCCAACTTATTCTTTTTGAAAGTTAACAGTTAAACTGACCAATCATGACTGTATCATTGTATGGACTTGACCTGAAACGTGTAAGAACCCTGTGCTGTTCAACCTCGCTCCCTTTTTTTCTGCCCTGCTGTTCCTGCTGCAGCCTCGGCTGCGACTGCCCTTCCCAGCCAGCCCTGCTGGGCTGGGGGTCGGCTGGGAGACCCAGGTCGGCCTGAATAAACTGCCTTTATGCGTTAGCGCTGATTTCAGACTCCTGATGATTTTCCAGGGATCTCAGAATCCTGCAGGACACATATGACAGATCATGGGATGTGTGCTGGACAAGGACAGTCAGGGACAGGCAGCGGGGTCTGGTTAAGTGCCGTGAGACCCAGGAGGAGGGGATGGAATGGCAGGGGGTGTAAAGTGGGGGGCTTGAGCAGCCCCAGCACGGATGTGATCCTGGCACGCGTGGCTGAGCCGGGTGTAAGAAAAGTCGATAGGAGGAATAGGAACGCTGTCCACGTCAAAATGGACTCAGTTGCTTCAGGCAGAAAAGAAGGAAGCTGAGAAACGATGGATAGATCCAGAGGCAGAGTTGCCTGGCAGTCACAGACTTGCCCGTGTCCAATACTGCCGCCTTTAACAGAAAGTCCTTCTGCAGAGCTGGTCACCCAGCAAGCAAGCGAGCCTTGCACCTGACTCAGGAAGACAACTGGGGTAAGCTGCGCGTCCCCTTTCCCAAACTGAGCCTGCCACAGCTCACTAATGGCCATGCCGGTACTCGGAAACACCCAGATCCTTTGGGGCAATCGCTCCACTCCTAATTTAGCTTGGCAGAAGGCTGGAAACAGAAATCACCGAAGAGCTACTGAACTCCCCGTGGACTGGAAATGGGAGTCAGACGTATTCCTCGCCAACAGCTCACCACAGGATAAAACACGGAAGTGCTTCTACAGCAGCGATCGGGGTTATAGTCCGTTTTGATTTAGCAGAAGGGATACCTAAAGGACTGGGATTCCAGCTACGGCACGCACAGGCTTCAGATCTCGTGGCCGACCGGGTGCCCGAGCTGCAGGCGGCGGGTTGGGCATGCTGTCCGCGCCGTCAGCGCTCTGCGCCGTCCCGCCTGCGCGGGCTGAGCCCTCCGGCCCTCCGTAGCCGCAGCGCCGTCCCTGCGTGCGCCGACGCTTCCGGCTGCCGACATGGCGGCGCAGAAGATCAACGAGGGGCTGGAGCACCTCGCCAAGGCCGAGAAGTAGTGAGTGAGGGGCTCCTGAGGGCACGGCTGGGGAGCCCCGCGTCCTCCGCGTGCGCGGGCCCCGGGGGCTTGGTGCTGCCCCACTGCTGCTGCGTGGGATGAAGGCCGACCCCAAGGGCCCTACCCCGCTGCTGTGTGGGGTACCGAGCCGTTCCCCGCAGCTGCTGTGTGGGGCGCGAGCCGTTCCCCGCTGCTGCTGTGTGGGGTGCGGGCCGACCCCAGGGGCCCTACCCCCGCTACCTCCCCAGCTGCATGGGAAGTGCCGGCACCCACAAGGGGTGGTGCCAGGCTGGAGGTGCGAGGTGGAGGCTTGACCTACGGAACCGCGGCGCTGCACCCTACTCCTCCTCCCCCGAAAGCTCTTAGTTTACCAGTGGGTCTGCCCATTGGATCGTGGGGGACTGGGTTGTTGCTGGGACCCTGCACCGAGGCCCTGGGGAGGGGATGATGGAGTGACCCCAGGTAGGTCCTCCCTCAGGAGCTGCAGGTCACCGAGCTGGTTGAGTGCTGGAGGGCAGGTGCATGCTTGGAGAGGAAGGAGGAAGGACAAGTCGGGATGATGGGGTGCAGGGAGAGGCAGCGCCGTGAGGTCTCTGAGCTGCTGACCTAGGCAGACATGACAGCGGCCTGTGTTGGGGCAGGATTCAGAGACTTTTAGCGGCCTTCATGACCCGCCTGGACTCAGCTGGGACGCTGGACTCCTGGGATTAACCTGGGGAGTGGAGTGAGGGAGAGGCCTTCAGGTAGGGATGCGTGGGCCCAGCTCGGTGCAGGGCTGGCTAGGGAGCTGTGGGTTGCACCTTTGCTTACTCAGTAGTGGTAGGTAAAATGGACCAGGAGCCTTGGAAAAGAAAATGCGATTTTTCTGTATTTTCTAGCGATGGTCTGTTTCCCTGTTATCAAGGCAGGCATTGGGTGTAAGGCGTCAGATGCTGTGTGGCTGCCGGCATCCCGTGCCAGGTTGACTGGCTCCTCTCTGCCCCATGGCAGCTGCCTGCCAGCGGGGACCGTGGCGGGGGTGGGGGGGTAGAGTTCTGGGTTCACAGCTGCGTCTTGGCACACCCACGCCGTCTCCCTCCCTGCAAATAATCTGATTTCTAAAAGCATCTATCCAAGTCTGATCTGAGGTGGCTTTGCTGGTGTGTGTGTGTGTGTGTGTGTGTGTGTGTGTGTGTGTGTGTGTTAATTTCCTTACTGATGCTTAGCACGCTCACAGTTACAGCCATTCAGCTAAGTGAAGCTGTGCATGGCTTTCCTCATCGCTGGTCTCAGACCTCTAGCACGTTGAGCAGCTGAGGGGTGACGTCTTGTTTGGTGGAGTTAATGTGCAGGATGTGATGAGTCCAGTGGTGGCGGGGTGGAGAATTTGAATTTGGCCTGATTGCGTATGGGTTTCTTTCGTTTTTTTTTTGGATTAGGCAGACCTCATTTTGAGCATTCTAGCTTTCTGAACAATAAGAGTCTCCAGAAGTTGAAAAAATTGCTTACAGATTTCAGTCTTGTGGCAGTGTATGCATAAACTAATGTTAGATATTAAATATGTTAATTGGCGCATCATTGCAGAATTTGGGCCTCAGGAGCACTTCCTCCAGCAGTAGTGAAATAACAGGTAACCTGAGCCCTTTCAGGGACCCCCAGCTTTGACTTGGACTGCTGTCGGGTTCCTGTGGAGCTGGGGGCATTCCATAAAAGCAAGGTTTCATCAATTGGATTGAAACTTAGAATTTAAGGAAGCATTCAACAATTCTTCGCCACCTCCAACTTTGACTCTGGTTGAATTAGCTTAAACTGTAAGTCTGGAGTTACTTCGAAATTTACAAAAAGAAAGAAACTGTTGCAGAAAGGGCAGGGCAGGTGAGGCAGGCAGGTGAGGCGTTGTTGATGCTTGCCCCGGGGTTTGGTGCCCCAGCCGCCAGCAGTGAGTGGTCCTGGAAGGCTGCTTCTCTCCTGCTGCTGAATCCTCCTCCTCCCTGCCCACCCGTCGCCGCTGGCCTCGGTTTGGCCCTCTCTCCACTCCCTCCGGGGTCTATACAGCCTTGAATCCCGACCCTTGGTTTGTGCTGGGATTCCACTGTGAAGCCGGTTTCTGGTTCTGGCAAGTTCTGAGAAGGTCTGGTGCTGCTGCGTGGGGGTCACTGTGTCCCTGGAGATCCTAACTTCACAGGCAGCAGGGGAAAAGGAGGTGGCATTTATTGTAAATAAGTTTGGACAGAGAGATGAGTAAGATCTCTTTTGAATGTGAAGGCTTCTTTTTAAAAAAGATTTATTTATTTGAAAGGCAGAGCGATATTGAGGGAGAGCAGAGACCAAGATCCTCCATCCTCTGGTTTACTTCCCACAGGCCTGCAGGGAGCGGAGTGGGCCAGGCCGAGGCCAGGAGCTTGGGAACCCCAGCTGGGTGTTCCGTGTGTGTGACAGGAACCCAAGTATTTCAGCCATCTGCTGCCTTCCCAGGCTTATTAGCAAAGAGCTGGATCAGAAGTGGAACAGCCAGAACTCGAACCTGCAATCGTAGGGAATGCCCTGTGTCCTGTCCAGCAGGACAGTCAACGGGGGTCGCAACCACCTAGGAGAGATTGGGGGACAAGAGACACGAAGAATGGACAGCAAGACAGGATGTCTGATCAAGCTGTCAGTTTATTGATTTTAATTGAGGGTTTTTATACTCTTCAGTAACTAAGGCTCAGGGAGGAAAGGAGAAACTAGGACACAAGCCATGGTCTCCAGACCGATTGTTCTTGAGCAGCCACCATATCAACAATAGTAACCAACATATCAACAATAGCATAGGTAATCAATAACAAGATGCCGGCAGGTACAGCATAAATCACATTCTAAAACAGTTGCTAGAAACAATTGAAGCTAAGTGTGTGATTAGTTTCATAACTTCTTTCCCAAGCATCTAGCCAGCCGGGGATTTTCCACTGGCCCATAGTTCTATATTCAAAATGGCTTCAGTGTGGCTATAGTACATGGCTCCTGACAGCCCTGAACAGGCAGTGGCTTGATACGCTGCACAGCAGTGCCAGCCCCGAGTATGTCCATACTGCATAATATGTGAAAGCTTTTATAAGTGTAGTTATACACATAGGAGTGTAGCTACATACTGTGTAAATGTAGTTAGTGACTTCCACTAAATGTGTTTTCTTTTATTCTAGCCTGAAAACTAGTTTTTTAAAATGGAAGCCAGACTACGACAGTGCTGCTTCGGAATACGGAAAAGCAGGTATTTGCAGCTTGACTTCTGATGCTTTTATGTGTACTCTGAAATAATCTGTAAAGCTCATCTTAAAGTGTAATACAGGGTATTAAAGTGTAATACAGGGTATGTCGCTCCGCACAAGCCGTGGCGTTTTCCTGCACTTGTCATTTGCCTGTGGGCTCGGGTGGGGCGGAGTCAGGGCGCCAGCTGCGGGTCCTGCATGTGGCGTGGGTGCTCTTGTCACTGTCGGCTTTATCCTTTGTGCCTAGGGCTACAGCCTTGAGGGTTGCTGTAGTCCTCTGTTGTGCTTGGTAGCAAATAAGAAATTTTCTTTACTTTTTTTTTTTTTTACTTAGCCTCATCCTGTGCAGACCTAGAAGTTTTGTTTCTCGCATGCTCTTTTTTTTTTTTAATTTATTTATTTATTTGTAAGTCAGATATACAGATATACAGAGAGGAGGAGAGACAGAGAAGAAGATCTTCCGTCCGATGATTCACTCCCCAAGTGAGCGCAACGGCTGGTGCTATGCTGATCCAAAGCCGGGAACCAGAAACTTCTTCCAGGTTTCCCACATGGATGCAGAGTCCCAAAGCTTTGGGCCATCCTCGACTGCTTTCCCAGGCTACAGGCAGGGAGCTGGAAGGGAAGTGGAGCAGCCGAGATTAGAACCGGTGCCCATATGGGATCCTGGCACGTTCAAGGCGAGGACTTTAGCTGCTAGGCCATGCCGCCGGGCCCTGTTGCATGCTTTTTTATGAGCCTCACTTTGAGACACATTGGGATGTATTTAGAGAGTATTAAAATTACGTGCATATTTTAGTGAATTTCTCTCTATGTAGGCGATGTTGAATATGACACGGAAAGGGAATCTGCTGAAGTTGGCATTCTGAGTTGTGGAGTGACTGGCCCTCTTTCCGGCTGTGAAGTGTGAGCAAGCTTGAAGTGCCCTGAGCAGTGTTTGTATTTCCGTGGCACTGGTGGCTGGCATCGATTAGCCAGGCAGAGGGCTCCTTGTGGGCAGGGGCCCAGGGCACCTTCACCTTGAGCTTCTCACCAACGCAGGGAGGAGTTAAAACTGACGAGTCTGAGGGCAGGTTTTCTGGCTGGAAGGAGCAATGGGAGGTTCATAGCTCCTGTTTAAAGATGCAAGTCTTTCAAGTCCAGGCTACAAATGGGCTTTACGCACAGCTTGTGGCTTATGTAAGGATGCCTTTCAACTGATATTTAAAAAATGCCTTCTCGGAGGGAAGTGTAACAGGCTTGGTTTCTTTGCCTGGAAGATCATCAACTTGTTTTTGAAAATAGTCCAGGTTAGATTTTCAATGAAAGCGTTCTTTTGCTTCTTTTCTTTAAAGGTTTCTGTAAAATATGTTTAATCAGTAGAATACATCCTTTAAAAATCTGGGTGTGAAATATGTATGGGATGGAAGCAGTTTCTGTATTTTGCTTGTTTTTAACATTTTGTTGAAGAATTTTGGATGTGTTTTGTAAGAAATAACACATTCCAGGCCCAGCATGGTAGCCTAGTGGCCCAAGTCCTTGCCTTGCAAGTGCCAGGATCCCATATGGGCTTTGGTTCTAATCCCGACAGCTCCACTTCCCATCCAGCTCCCTGCCTGTGGCCCGAGAAAGCAGTCGAGGATGGCCCAAAGCTTTGGGATCCTGTACCCGTGTGGGAGACCTGGAGGAGGTTCCTGGCTCCTGGCTTTGGATCAGCTCAGTACCTGTCGTTGTGGTCATTTGGGAAGTGAGTCATCAGATGGAAGATCTTCCTCTCTGTGTATCTGACTTTACAATAAAATAAAAAAATGAAAAGAAAAAAGAAACAACGCTTTCCTTAAAGCCGTCTGCTTTTGACTTCTCTGTGAGCACTCCTTGGTGAGGTTTTGGGCTGCTGGGGCTGTGTTCCAGTCTGTGAAGGTCTCGTCATCGTTGGCACTGGGATAGTAGGGAAGTTACGCGTTTGCGCATTTAAGTGGCTGTTCAATGAGAAGTGTTCTTATAAGCTAATGTGTTTATTGGTCCTTAGCTTATAAATAATTTTGAGTTAAGCTAAAGCACTTTCGGTTATTAAGCATAAAGCTAGCAAAATGAAATGCTGCCTTTGGGATGAAGGAGTTTGTTATCTGGGAGTGTTGATGGATTTACGTGGAAGTATCAGATCTGTTGCCAGTAATCAATGATTTTTTTTTTTTAACTTAAAGACTTTAAAACTTAAAAAAAAAAAAGATTTATTTATTTTTATTGGAAAGGTAGATATACAGAGAGGAGGAGAGACAGAGAGGAAGATCTTCCATCTGATGGTTCACTCCCCAAGCTGCCACAATGGCTGGAGCCAAGCTGATCCAAAGCCAGGAGTCAGGAGCCTTTTGCAGGTCTCCCATGTGGGCGCAGGGTCCGAACGACTTGGATGGTCCTCAACTGCTTTCCCAGGCCACAAGCAGTGAGCTGGATGGGAAGTGGGGCTGCCGGGATTAGAACCGGCGCCCATATGGGATCCCGGCATGTTCAAGACGAGGACTTTAACCACTAGGCCATCACTCTGGGCCCCTAAAACTTTTGATAACCATAAGTGTTGTAAGGAAATTGCTTTAGACAAGATTATATCTTTTTAGTGAAACTTCCCATGTGTTTAAGTAGATTTTAGAATGCTTGGTTTTGGTAATGATTCATTTGGCTAGTTTTTGCAGTGATCGAATTAAACATATCTTTTTTTTTTTTTTCCCTCCTGTTTCAGCTGTTGCTTTTAAAAATGCCAAGCAGTTTGAGCAAGCCAAAGACGCCTGCCTGAAGGAGGCTCTTGCCCACGAGAACAACAGGGCGTATCCTTCCCAGTCTCTGGGACGAAATACATAGATTCTCTCTGTCAGATCACCCCGCTATCTCTTCTTGCTATAGATTTGCTCTGTGGAGTAGAATGCTTTTAAATCACACAGTGCTCAGAAAAACGTTGAGTTTTAAACTCCGAAGGCGCCTTCCTCGTGCCCTTTGGCTGGCAGCTCTTCCCTGAGCTGGCGGGGCGGTGGTGGACGTGGGCTGTAGTTTCCAGTTCGGCTTCATGTTTCTCTGAGGAAGGGCGGGAGGTCTGTGGGCGTGTGCTGACCAGTGAACGGCGCAGGGATTGGAATTGCATCACCTGCTGTGTGGATTTATTTACGTTCTCCTGTAGGTATTTGAGATGAGACCTCTAAGTAGTTTCAAATATTGCTTTTTCCTGGCATATGTTAGCACTTCTTAAAAAATGTTTCTTATTGGCAACTATGGCCACAGTCGATTTGCATTGTAGTAAAATGGTTAAATCCACAGAGAACCGTTTCAAACCCATGCAGTTTAACTATCAATTTCATCTTTTTTTTCCCTTAACTTTTACTTTCCTGCCTCTATTCAGTCTTTTCCATGCTGCCAAGTAAGTAGTTCTGCACATTTTCATCTTTTTACGGTGTTTTTATCACTGTTTTCCTGTAGTTGAGTCAGTTGTTCCAAAGTTACATACTTACAAATAGCAAATTACTACTTTTATTATTATAATTATCGATAAATAACAAATTATTTTGTATTGGCTTAATTTATCTGTATTTAACCGACCTTGAAAAGCCAAGGTAGATGGGGTTTAAATGACACCCAGTGTATTTTTCAGGACCATTTGTCCTGTAACCTAAGTAAAGGGAATACATTAGGAGCCTTTTGTTTGCTGATAGTTAATTGTGCTCGTGGAAGAGAAGCACTGAGCTTTTAACTGCTTCTGCGGAAGGTATTTGTTTTAAATCATAGTGATCAGTGCATCCATTGGAAAACCCACCTAGCCTCGATAAAACCCCTTCAGTGCAAATAGCTGATGTTTCAAGGGCGTCATTTCTCGTTATACATAAAAACCAAACCAAAAGCCACAGTCAGTGACGGCGTGTACTAACGCAAGCCTGGCTTGGTGCATCGTCCCTGAACAGTTTATTGAAATCAGTTCCCCCACCAGCCGTAGCTTCATTAGCAGTTCTCGTTTGTGTCTTCAAGACCTCATCAGAGAAATTCTTGTCGTTTGTTTGTTTTTGCAGAGCTTATGAGCAGGCCGGCATGATGCTGAAGGTCAGTGATGTTGGTGTGTGGAGGGCAAATGGACTGTGTGGTTAACGTAGGATTTATATTGAAGCGCAACAGTGTCCTTCGTGTGAGCCGATGGCCCGTCAGAGTGACACTCACTGGACCTACAGGGTACAGTCTGCGTCCACGGCAGTGGGGGAACAAAGTAGAACCTAGGGCAACGTGTTAGAGGGACCTGGAAATAGAGTTGTACACGGGGACCCCGGGCCGGATGTGTATGGCTAAAGGAAGAACTGTAAGGCGTACCGCCTCGCGTAGCAGAACTGAAGGACATCTTAACGTAGTAAAAATGGTTAAGTGGGGATATTGTCTTAATTGTGGGTCATATGAAAGACTGGGAGCAAAGAGAACCAGACTCAACTGGTGGTTTGGGGCTAGGGAGGTTTGGCCAATAGGCTTCTGCTGCCTGTCGAACTTCTACTCTGTGAAAACACGCTGAGAATCGGGATCCTGTGGGGTGAAGGCAGAACATAGGATTCCATGGCAGTGAGTCAAAGCAGCAACTGAAATGAACCGATTGCCTTTCTGTTCTTGTATTTTCTGGAGTGGTAAACTTAATGTTGGATTGCTTTTTCTTTCAGATTTGTTGATTTATTTAGGAAGAGTAACAGAGAGAGAGAAAGAGGTGTGATCCACTAGGTCACTCCTGAGATGGCTTGTAATGGCCAGTGCTGGGCCAGGCCAAAGGCAGGAGCCAGGGGCTCTGTCCGGGTCAGGACGTAGATGGGGCGCAGGGAGGCAGGCGCTTCGGCCACCTGCTGCTGCTTTGCCCGGGCCGCTGGCTGGGCGAGCTGCAAGGGAGGCGGGGCAGCCAGGACGTGAGTGACGCCCCTGTGCGGTGCTGGTGGTGCTGGTGTCGCATTTGGCGGCTCTGTGCCACTATGCTGGCCCTGGATTCCTGGATCTCTTGTTATTGCATTTCAGTAAAGCTTTTCTTTTTAATTTCTATGACTTTTAAAAAAAGTTAATTTACTGGCTTGTTTCCGTGACTGTGTTTATTGCAGGACATGTTCAGGGAAACAATCAAGGAAAGTAATAGGTGATGATAGGCCCAGTTAAAGGAATCCCAGTTCTCCGAATGTATCATTAAGAGTATTGTTTGCAACGCTGTTTTGTTGCAAACGTGAGACAGTCATCAAAATTTTTAGTTGGGAAGTGTTTAACTATAATGCAAGTTTATGATAAACTTATATACCGCTGAGCTAAAACCATGCTGGCTAAACTTACAACTGAGTTGATATTTGATGGTGTCCATTAGGTTGCTAACAGTTCCTTAGAAACGATAATTGCCTTGTTACTATTAATGGTAAGAATTCCTCTTAGAGCCAGAAGTGCTGGGGATTCGCTATGACTTCCTGCTGGGAGTTAGGGAGCACCCAGGGTCTGCAGGAGTCTCCTTGTGCCTGATCAGCAGTGCTGGGACCCCGATTCCTGGAGCCTGCTTCATACTGCTGCTGCTCGGCTGCGGATGGATCCTCACCGGAATTGCTTGTGGAGAACTCTGCCTGTCTCGCATTGATGGACTTTCTGTGTCCATAGGAAATGCAGAAGCTGCCAGAGGCTGTTCAGCTGATTGAAAAAGCCAGCATGATGTATCTGGAAAATGGTACCCCCGACACGGCGGCCATGGCCTTGGAGAGAGCCGGAAAGTGAGTAGGGGGCCGTTAGTTGGAAGCAAGGGCATCCCCATGAAAACCATTATTGTTTTGTTCAGTAGAGCTCTTCAAAGAACAAGTTTTGTATTTCTCATTTAAGTCAAACCTCCTTTGTTTCAGGCTTATAGAAAATGTGGATCCGGAAAAAGCGGTACAGCTGTACCAGCAGACGGCTAACGTGTTTGAGGCGAGTTTGACTTCCTTTCTTTCATTACTTAGAACGTTTAGAATCTTAATATATGGGGAGCAGACAGGGCTGCGTTGTCAGCCTCTCGTGCTCCCCACTGCTCCCCAGTTCTCTCTGAACGGACCAGCCCCTTCAGCGCCCCTGACCGTGGTCCACAGCTGCTGTTCTCCAGAGTGATTCTTGAGATGAAAGGATGCCCGCGTGCAAGTGGCAACCCTCTGTCTTTGATCCTTTCAGAATGAGGAGCGCTTACGGCAGGCAGTTGAATTACTAGGAAAAGCCTCAAGGCTGCTGGTGCGGGGACGCAGGTATGTCTTCAGAACCCAACCTGTGTGTCTGTGTGTCAGACACAAAGCATAAAAAGATGCGCTGTTTTGAAAGTGAACAGGCAAATGCGGTGTGCATTGCGTTACCGGTGCACGTCAGCCGGGCTGAGAGGTGGCCGGCCGTGGGGAGGGTTGCTTTTTCTCTGTGTGTGGGGTAAGTGGCAGGGATGCCCTACGCGCTCACCCGGTGACAGGTCCTTGGCAGCCAGAGAGTGCCATCTGGGAGGGAGTTGCCCGTGTGTGTTCTCCTTGCTGTGTTTGACCTTGGGAAGGTGGGCTGCGATTCTCCTTTTTTTTTACGTGCAGTTTATGCTCACAGTTTGTGTCAATAATAAAATCCTGCTTGCTGAGTTCTCATTTAACAATGCTTGAACACCTTTAGGAGCTTGGGATTCTGGAGAGAGAGAACTGAATTGAAACCTAACTCAAGCTGTGTTGTGTCAGGGATTAAAGCAGTGATCACTGTTGCTGTTTTTTTTTAAAGGTTTATTTATTTTATACTGGAAAGTCAGATAGAGAGAGGGACAGAGAGGAAGATCTTCCACCCGATGATTCACTCCCCAAGTGAGCCGCAACGGCCGATGCTATGCCGATCCGAAGCCAGGAGCCAGGAGCTCTTCCGGGTCTCCCGTGTAGGTGCAGGAACCCAAGGCTTTGGGCCACCCTCAACTGCTTTCCCAGGCCACAAGCAGTGAGCTGGATGGGAAGCAGGGCTGCTGGGATTAAAACCAGCTCTCGTATGGGATTCCGGTGCATTCAAGGCGAGGACTTTAACCATTATGCTATCACGTTGGGCCCAGTCACTAGAGTCATCCCTGCCAGTGGCTGCCAGATGCAGAGTGACTGACCCATGAGGCGCTGCCAGGCGCTGGCTCTGCTGAGCAGGACAGTGTAGCTGGGCGGATGGCGGGCAGCTCCGCGTGCCTCTGGCTCTTCTCCTTTGCCCAGCTCGTGGTGGGCCTGCATTGCTCCCCACGCCTGTCTACCATCCCGCGTGCTGGGGGCTCTGCTGCAGGGAGGGCGGGCAGTCACTGGAAAGAGGCAGCAGTTCATTACCGCTCCTGGGGCAGTCTGCTCTGCTTCAGCCAGCCTAAAGCTTTCCTGGTTTTCACATTTCTCTCTCTTGGTTCCCAAACTGTAGATATCTCAGATGGTGTGTCGGCAGGAGCAGCATAGGGTCCGAGCGTTCAGGACCTGCGGGAGTGGTCAGCAGGGACCGTTCTGCATGTGGCATCCTTACATGTGGCATTGACTGCGTTCTGAACATGTCCCTAGCTGGTGTTGACTTGCGAAAACAGCTGTCATCAAGTGAGCAGGGAGCTCCTCTCAGGCCGTGCTGGGGGAAGTGCCACCTGCTGAAGCCAGGCGTGTCAGGTGTGTGGGCGTGCTTAGGCGCTGCACGCTGATGAGGCCAGGGCAGCAAATGGTCCGGTTTACATTTTGATATTGTTGGGGTTTTTTTTCCCTTTAGTAAAACATGGTTTTATGTAGTATCTTCTCCAGTATTTGAGCAAAAAATTGATCTTATGGACATACATATTTGATTTGTGTGACAGCATGAAAATGGATTTAAATTTATTCAGGAATGTGAAGACTTTGGATATTTTGGAAAGTTTTCCTGGGAACCTGTGGTATGAAAGAATTCATTGCCACCTAGTACTTCTTTGAGGACTTTAAGTAGTGCAGACTAGGAAAAAGCATGCATGATTGATGTAAAGGAAAAGGTAATGAGATAGCTATGTGATACTGAATGTTATATGTAGACTGTGATTATAATTTGCTTGGAGTTCACTCGTAGCCTAAATAAATAGATGATAAGTATATGCTATTCACAGTTCCCTCTTACTCATAGGGTATGGCATAGCATTTTAAATTGGATGCTTGTTATATTTTATTACTCCACTGTCTACATGAGAAATGGTAAGATTTAGCCCTAATACCTTAGTTTATATGTTAGTATGGCAAATGGCACTGCTTGTTTGGTGTTTTATACTTTCCTGGTTGTCTTTGCGTTCGGTGCCCTGTGATGGAGAAGTGTTTCCGAGTGTAGGCGACATCCGTCCTGGCTCGGTGCCCTTCGAGACCAGGCCTCTCCAACAAGCTGGTCGTGGCTTCAGTGCCCTCAATGCAAGACGGACACCCCTGAGCTGGCATATGGTGTATATTCCCAATGAACTCAGATCCCACATAGCAAAGAGAAGTGCCTCTACCAGTTGAGGGACACAGTCGACAGGTCATCTTACAGAGAGAGCTGGTGGCGTGGATGTGGACCAGGTGTGTGCTTGGGCGGCGTGGGTGTGGATGAGGTGTGTGCTCGTGTGACATGGGTGTGGACGAGGTGTGTGCTCGGGTGGCGTGGGTGTGGAGTAGTAGGGAGAGTCCCTGGGCTTCTGTATCAGGCAGCTGTCCTGTCCTGGTTTAACTGCTAATGCATCAGTGACGGTAGGAAGGTTAGTTGGGAGTATCATGAATAGTCTGACAAGTTTTGTGGGAAGTGGAAAGTATGTTTTGGGGTTCAGGAAGTAGTGGGGTTGAGGGGAAGAGTTTGAGTCATGCCTGGGATCTGTTGAAGCTTGCTGAGCGAGGCTCAGTCTCTCGCAGGCATCCGCTCGCTGGGGGCTTAGAGTCTGCTTTGTTTTGTTTGGGTCTGACTCTGCTTTTGAATGACAGGAAATAAAAATAATTTATTGTGTCTTCAACAAAACCAGATAGATTATGTTAGGAGCATTAAGAATTATCTGATGGAAAAGTAAAAAACATTGTATCTCATTGTAACTAACATAATTTCCTGAATATATTTGAAAAGGGTTTTATATGCCAAGTTCATGGACTTTAAGCAAAGTTGATTAAATTTTTTACTGTGGACCCATATAAGTGCATAATATTTCTCTTGGCTGTTTTTTTACATTGATAAAAGCATGAAGAAATGCTATATTTCTGTCAAGGAAATAAATCATGTTCCAGACCTAAGCTTTATGGTAAATATATGTACAGCTTAAAATACTGAGATTCCTGCTAGGGTGATCTAATCCAGACATTCGTTATGTCTGTAGAATATTCTGATTTATTTTGTAAACAGCATCTGTAATTATTTCATGTGATACTTGTGTTCCCCACACTGGATTTTTTTTTTGTTTTTTTTTTTTTTTAACTTTTAAAACAAATTGACGCAAACTTAGCAGCTTCGAACAGCTCTCACTGATGACTGCTCGGTCTCTGTGAGACAGAAGCCTAGCTGTCGTGTAGCTGGTTCCTCTGTGCAAAGCTGAGGGGCCCGATGGCTCTGCCTGCCATCAGGTCTGGGTGCTCTGCAGGCCCACTCCCGAGTGATCGGCAGCTGTGTCACTAGGGTCCTGTGCTCCTGCTGCCTGTGCGTTTCCCGGGCAGAGCGGTTGGGTTTAGCAGGTGCCTCCCACTCCTGAGTGTGTGCCCTGTGGGAGTCTTTTCCTGATAGGAGGCTGGTGGCGGCACCTCTGTCTGGTTCCAGAATTTGACTTCAGGACTCACCTGCTGAGGTCAGGCCCTGCAGACAAAGCTGTTTGCTCACTCGGAGGCACCTGATGACTGTGGCGTCATAGGCACGAGGTGGCATCAGATTCAGAGGTTGTCTCCACACTCGGGGTGTGGTTATAGAGTGACCTGGGGAGGCGAGGGTGGTGAGGGCAGTCAGACTTCCGCACAACTCACAACAGCTCACAACCGACCATGCTCCAACAGTCTGTCAGATTTGAAACTTGAGAACGCATTTCACCAATGAGCTTTATTGTAGCACACATTAAGTTGCCAGACACAGCCCACAGAACTTCAGTTTAATTCACAGTGTGGATAGCAGTATTAACCATAAGCCAAGCCTTGTATGGAGTGGAGCTTTATGACATTATTGAACTTTGATTTTGACCAGAGCACGTCGTCTTCCTTAGCTGTGAGGTTGTGTGGACTCCTGGTGCTAAGTCACTCGGTCATTGCTTCTGTGACCTCGGGCCATCTGTTGGGATGACAGAATGGAACAGGCCGAAGATTCATCCAGTTACAAGTTACTGAGGGAGTTTGGAATTTGGAGTAGAGTCAAACAGTAAGGGTAGGGCAGCGGGGAGCCTGTGAGGGCTTGATGGGAATCACAGGAGGTGGATGGGGAGTTTGAGGGAGAAGTTTGGTGATTCCCCTGGCTTTGTATTTTGCTGTTGGAAGAAGAGAGTAAAAGGAAATTGAGAGTAGATAGAAAATACACTGTTGCAGACCAGCAGTGCAGCGAGGATTGCGTGTTGCACACCAGCGGTGCAGTGAGGATTTTGTGTTGCACACCAGCGGTGCAGTGAGGGTTGTGTGTTGCAGGCCAGCGGTGCAGTGAGAGTTGCGTGTTGCACACCAGCGGTGCAGTGAGGGTTGCGTGTTGCACACCAGCGGTGCAGTGAGAGTTGCGTGTTGCACACCAGTGGTACAGTGAGGATTGCGTGTTGCACACCAGTAGTGCAGCAAGGATTGCGTGTTGCACACCAGCAGTGCAACAAGGATTGCGTGTTGCAGGCCAGTGGTGCAGTGAGGGTTGCGTGTTGCAGGCCAGTGGTGCAGTGAGGATTGCGTGTTGCACACCAGCGGTGCAGTGAGAGTTGCGTGTTGCACACCAGCGGTGCAGCGAGGATTGCATGTTGCAGGCCAGCAGTGCAGTGAGGATTGCGTGTTGCACACCAGCGGTGCAATGAGGGTTGCGTGTTGCACACTAGCAGTGCAGCGAGGGTTGTGTTGAGTTGGGCAGGCAGCAAGTGCTGCTCTGTGGATGGTCTCTATGTGGGAGGGAGGAAACGTGGTGGTGAATTCTGAAACTGTCTCCAGCACGTCCTTGAACTGGACAGGTGCTCCTGTGGGGCGGCCCGTGCCGTGCGTGGGGCTCTCTGTGCGGGCTAGCCCAATCCTGAGTTCCTTGGCTGTCATCGTGAGGCCTGCAAAGGGAGAGTCAGCAAAGGCAGGGGTGAGGGGAGCAGGCGGCACTCGGCACCCATCCTCTTTGTTTCTCTAGTGTCTGTGACGGGAGGGCCACAGCAGAGCTGGCCTCTGCCAGAAGCCGTGCACACTGCCTTGTCTCACGTGTCTGTTTTGTCTTCAGGTTTGATGAGGCAGCCATCTCTATTCAGAAAGAAAAAAATATTTACAAGGAGATTGAGAATTACCCAACTTGTTATAAGGTATTCTTTAAAAGTGCTCATTTTTGGTTTTTAATTGAATAATGTTTCATATATGCTGTAAATACTTAACATAGGATTCTGTAATGCTCTGTATATTTCTGTAAAATAATACATGGTGGGTTTGCACTTTTGACCAAGGTAGAGTCAGCCCATGACAGCCTGTCTCTTGGTTACAACTAAACCAGTTGATCAAATATAGGAATACCCCAGGCTGAGAAGGAAGTGCAGGCTGACTGAGGAGGCAGTGGGCCCTGGGGAGGCAGTGGGCCCTGGGGTCCTGGGGAGGCAGCGGGTCCTGGGGAGGCAGCCGATCCTGGTCCTGGGGAGGCAGTCGGCCCTGGGGAGGAAGTCGGCCCTTGGGAGGCAGCGGGGAGGAAGCGCTGTGGGAAGGGAGTGGCCAAGCCGAGAGGATCCCCCAGGCGCAGGAATGCAGCCCTCTGGAGGAACCCTGGCTTAGCAGAGTGAAGGGAGGAAGAGGCCCATTGTTTCCACTTGCGTGCACTTGCTGCGTTAGTGGTGGCTCGGTGAGTACAACTCTAAATGGAGCCTCATCTCGGGCTGGAGGAGCAGAGAGGATGAAGCTGAGAGAGTAAGGAGAAAACGCCGAGAAGGAGTGGTGGAAAAGGGGGCCCCCCACCTTGTGGCCCACGCAGTCTTCGTCTTCACACTTCAGCCATGCGTGCATGACAAGGCCCGAAGGAGGGTGCAGTTTTGAGAGAGATTTAAACCACAGTCCATGTGTCACACTACCCCTTAAAGGGTGCATACATGGGCCAGACCCAGAATAGCATAGCAGAGGATTTGAACTAAGGACCTTGCCTGCTCCCCGTCCCCCGGTGACAGCTGCTGTCTGTACCTGATGGTGGTGGCTGTGTGCTGAGAACCACGTGACATTCACAGATCACATGCAGGGCCAGGGCAATGGGAGCCGCTCCTTAAAGAAAATCCCAGAACAGTCCAGGTGTCAGAATGAACAGACTGTGAAACAGCTGTGTGACTGCTCCGGGAGGAAGAAATACATTAAAACGCATGGAGAAGAACTGTTGTTTTTAGAGGAAAATTGTATTTCAATGCAGACAGTCAAAATGAAGTCAGAGTTTTGGGACTGGGAATTGTAATGCCTGAAATAAGATAATGAGCGAGCATTATCTCATGATAAAGGTGACAGAAGGGCCAGTCGACTTCTGAAGATAGGTTTGTGACAGGTGCCCAAAGAATGGAGAGCCGCAAAATGGAACGTACTTTAGGAAGAGCTGTTTTGCCGTGAGATGAGTTTCAGGGGCGTAACTATCTTTTGAATTCCCTTTCATAGATACTTGAAGGGCACTCAGTCCTCAGGAGTGGCCCTCCCACTGGCGGTGGCAGCACTGGCAGGGAGCGTGTTAGCGTGGCAGAGGCTCGGGCAAGCGTCCAGCCCACGCAGCCAGTCTTCGTTTCAGGGACACCCCTGTTCCGTGCACACTAGAGTGGGTGATCTGTCTGAGATTTTTCTCTCAGTGTCCTGTGTTACTGCAGAATTAATTGGTGTCACTGAATACAGACTGAGACTCTGAAGGTTCAATTGTGGGTGTTTGTAACACTTCCAGCAAACTGACGTGGCTAAGTAGACAAAACCTTGGACTGTAATCACCTCTCTTTGTTTTAGAAAACAATCGCTCAGGTCTTGGTTCATCTGCATCGAAACGACTACGTGGCTGCGGAGCGCTGTGTCAGGGAGAGCTACAGGTAGGAGGCTGGCTGCTGCGGGTCCCAGCTGCTGGGGCAGTGTGAGCTGTGTGGTGCCCTCCTGGCAGCACCCACCACCCTCCCCATGGTTGGCACAGCACCATTTGTACTGGCCGTTTCTTCCCCGAGTTTTTCTCTCCGGGACATCTATGAGAAGGAATAATTTTTAAGCCTTTTTTAAAAAAAAAGGAAAATGCAGACTGCCCACCCCAGGTATATCAACATGAGGGATGCCCACGTTGGGGTTTATGAAAAGAGCAGTCCAGCCTAGGCACTGCTGACACTGTGAGCGGGAGCCTTCCGGAGGCCTTCCTGGGCACTGCAGCTGGGCACCGCATCCTCACCCGCCCCACCCTGGGCTTACGGTCTAACGTCTGCCTTCTGCTGGGCACGAAATCCTGCCCAGTGGAGAAGCATTCTTGTAAGGACTTGTGCTTCCTGCAGCATCCCGGGCTTCAACGGGAGTGAAGACTGCGCCGCCCTCGAGCAGCTTCTTGAAGGGTATGACCAGCAAGACCAAGATCAGGTGTCCGAGGTCTGCAACTCACCGCTCTTCAAGTACATGGACAATGACGTAAGTGGCCCTTGGGCGCGTTCTCCATGTGAGCGTTTTACAGTGGGGCTCGTGTGATGTTTTTCACATCCAGTGATACCCTCGAAGGGATCGACCCCTCTCCTGAGCTTCCTGCAGATTTAAGTAATTTGATCTACTCAGGCATCCGTCTAACTTAGTTGACAGTATACGTATTTCATTTTTTTATTTGAAGGGCAGAGACAGGGCTAGTTCCCCCTTCCAGTGCCTACAACAGCCAGGACTGGGCCAGGCCAAAGCCAGGAGAGCCTGCATCTCATTGTGTGTCTTGCACGTAGTGGGAAGGACTGAGTCCCTGCTGCTTCCCACGGACAGTGTTTGCAGGAAGGTGGATTGGAGGCCACCCTGGGATTAAACCCAGCTGCCCTGTATGGGATGCAGGCATCCCCGCCACGGCTGAAGTGCTTCCACAGGCAAACCTTTAATTCAGCCTAATTTCTCAGTTTCTCCTCCCATCTCTTGTTCTCTGTAAGCTGTTTGGTTTATAAGTTTCTTTTGGGATCCCCATCTGAAGGAGGCCCACCAAATAGTAGCCTCCATAATTCAGAAGATCTGGGGACAGCGCACAGTCAGTGCAGGCTGTGAACCGACCCAGTGGATCACCTGTTGGGAGAAGGCTCCTGGGATGCAGCTGGTGCACCTCAGGGGGCCGTGGCTGAGTGTGTCACTTCCCATTTTCCTTCTGAAGTGCGTCTGTGAGCACCAGTCTGCTCTCGTAACTTCAGAGTCTTATCAGAGTAACAGAGCAGTTCTAAGGTCTTTGATTTTTTTTTAACAATAAAAATGTATGGAAGTCATCTTTTTCTGCACAAATTCATATATAGACATTGGTAGATTGAATGTTTTAAAAAAATCTCTAGGGTGTGCCCTTTTATTCAATAGAACTTTACATTTTATAGCTGCTGTGTTACCTCACTCAGTTTATCCAGATTATCTCAGATTCTGCAGTGTGGCAATAATTGATGTTTTTAGTAGTTGTATTGCTGCCACATTGCGGTCACAAGGCATCTGCCACCTAGCGCCATTGTGCTGCTTTTCTGTCTCTGTGGTAGTCTGGGGGAGGAGGAGGGGGAGGTGCTGTGTCCTCCCTGAGGGGGAGGGGGAGGAGGAAGAGGAGGGGGAGCTGGTCCTCCCTGAGGGGGAGGGGGAGGAGGAAGGGTAGGGGGATCTGGTCCTCCTTGATGCGGAGGGGGAGGAGGAAGAGGAGGGGGAACTGGTCCTCCCTGATGGTGAGGGAGAGGAGGGGGAGGAGGAAGAGGAGAGGGAGCTGGTCCTCCCTGATGGTGAGGGGGAGGAGGGGGAGCTGGTCCTCCCTGAGAGGGAGGGGGAGGGGGAGGAGGAGTGCTGTGTCCTCCCTGATGGGGAGGGGGAAGGGTAGGGGGAGCTGGTCCTCCCTGATGGTGAGGGAGAGGAGGAAGAAGAGGGGGAGCTGGTCCTCCCTGAGGAGGAGGGGGAGGAGGAAGAAGAGGGGGAGCTGGTCCTCCTTGATGGGGAGGGGGAGGGGAGGAGGAAGAGGAGGATGAGCTGGTCCTCCCTGATGGTGAGGGGGAGGAGGGGGAGGAGGAAGAGGAGGGGGAGCTGGTCCTCCCTGATGGGGAGGGGGAGGAGGGGGAGCTGGTCTTCCTTGATGGGGAGGGGGAGGAGGAAGAGGAGGGGAGCTGGTCCTCCCTGAGAGGGATAGGGAGGGGGGGAGGAGGTGCTGTGTCCTCCCTGATGGGGAGGGGGAGGGGAAGAGGAAGCCGATGCTGAGCTGTGGGGTGGGCTTGTGGCCCTTCAGCTCTCAGGGGTGTGTGTTCTCGTTGCAGTATGCCAAGCTGGGGCTGAGCTTGGTCGTCCCAGGAGGGGGCATCAAGAAGAAGTCACCTGCCACACCCCAGGACAAACCTGCTGGCGTCAGCACCGCAGCGGCCGAGGAGGAGGAAGACGAGTACTCCGGAGGGCTGTGCTAGTGCTCCACCCGCAGCGCCCAAGGGCAGAACAGGAAGGAGCTCCTCAGGCTTGGGACTGGGGCCCGGGGACTTTGCTTCGTAACGTCAGGATTTGGAATGCTCGTGCAGACCCCATTTCCGTTACCAATTCTCCAAGTCAGCCATTGTACCTGCTCCCTAGAAGTGATGGGTTGGGGTTTTTTTTTTTGTTTTTTGTTTTTTCATGACAGGAGCAAGAATTAGAACATGTACTGCCATGTTAAATACAGTTGACTTTAAAATTTACGAGCCGAACTTTAGCCTGAGTACATTCTGAAGAACTGGTGGGGATTCGACGGGCGCTCCTCGAGTGTGTTGGTAGAGCGTTCTCTGCACTTCATTTCATAACTGCTGCTAGAAGTAAGCTCTATTGGTAAAATAATATATGTATATATATAGATATTGTTTTAAAATGGGGTTTTTTTTTGTATTGAAGAGGAAATGTGTCCCCTATGATGTCAGAAAATATTTGAGTTGTCCAGTCTTTTCAGAAGTGAGGTTGGACAGGAAGCTGCTTGGAGCCTTACAATGTTAGTCCGGAAAAGATGCAGCGAAGCCGTCATGTGTGAGCTGGCAGAGCCACGGGGAGCAGGACCAGTCTGTAACTGCGTGCTGTCCTCATGGGGCGCCTGTTCCTTCCGTCCTAGACTCCAGGCTGGCTTAGTTTTTATATAGTGGGAACATGCTTAGAAAGTGATTTTAAGCATCCTGAGAGATGATAGTATCATAATTCTAGTGCATAATGCACTTTTTCCTCCCAGAATAATTTCTCATTTATTTTGAGTTGTAACTGCAAACATCAAGCTGAGGCAGGAAATGGTGTATGCTACAAAAAGTTGGTTGAAGGGGGAGAATTATTTTTGAAAGACGTGTTTAAAACACCACACTATCAGCATTTTATACCTTATGCTTATTTCCAAAAACATGCCTTTGTAGCATTCCTTTTTTTACTTTAATTGGACAGAGGGTACCAGCGGCAGTATGCTTTGTTCTGGCACGCACGCCCTGTCGCTAGCCTCACTGCCAACACTGAGGGGAGTCGGGCTCAGGCACAGCCGGCCTTCTCTGGGGGTGTGCCTGGGTGGGTGAGGCCCGTGCACAGCCCCCCTCGGGTCTCCTGGAAAACACTAAATCACCTTGTGTCTCCCACGATGACTTGCAGAGCTCTGCAGGTACTCGGCTCATCTTCAAGGCCATTACGGAGATCATGAATGAGCCAAATAAAGCTGTATCTAAGGTTTTCTTTTTCAAGACAGATCCTGTCATTCTGATACCCTTTTTTTTTTAACTTTTAAAACATTTTTATTTTATGATGCAATTCCTTAGGCTCTAGGATTCCCCCCCAACCCCCCTGCTAAGTCCCTTCCCCTCACTAATTCCCCGTGTCATTACAGCAGCGTAGGGCCTTGTGGGCAGTGCCACGTCCATCAGTCAGCTGAGTGTGTCCTGACAGTGCGGATGGCGCAGACCCTGACGGCCGGCAAGAACCTTCCCGAATCACTCGAATACTCGTTTTAGCTGACTAGTCTCGGCAGATTTAGCAGCACTTTACAGACCGAATAGACCATCACAAACCCAGAAAAAATTGTTTTCATGTTAACTCTCCTTGCATAGTGTAAATTTAAACAAATCCATGCTTTCCATCACAGCAGTACCCCTGAGCTTCAGGCAGCATAAGCAGCCTGTCCCTCGGCCGCCTCTGCCCACGAGCACGTTCCTTGGATGGCAGGGTCGTCATGTAGGGTGTCTAATGAAAAACATTGGTTCCATAAGCATCGTTTTCTTTTCTGTAAGTCTTTTTTTTTTTTCCTGAGAGTACAGTCAGAAATGGAAAACTCTGTGTTTACAAGAAAAATGGTTTTCTAAAACCATTGTGTCATCCGTTTTACCCAATGAGAGTGCATGAATATGCTCAGAATCTAGTATTCAGTGTTCTCCTATCCTGTACGTCTACAGAATATGCTTAATATATTGGATTTATTTGTACATACTCAGATTGGTATTTGTGTATGGAATTCTGTGCTGTATTCCTTCTATTTCCCTACTCTTTGATGAGTGGGATATTAAGTGTATAGATACAGAAATACAAATTACTGTTCCTGTAGGAAGGTGATTATGAAAATAAAACCTGGAACTACACAAGCATAGTGATTTGGATTCTTTAGTTCCGTACTTTGCTTTCTTTGGGACTCAGCTGCCTTTGGGAAAACACCGTTAAGTTACCGCAGTGCTGACGGAAGAGCTCCCAGGAGAGCAAGCACTGCAGTTAGCAGACTGAGCAGCCTCATGCGAAGGCCCTTGCTCTGGAGCTCCGTGTGGGTACACTTTGATCACTGGCAGGTCACCTAGGCATCTGTCGGACAGTTCCTGTGCCTGTCCTGACCTTGACAGGATAAAAACCCACAGTAAAATTTGATAACCTGGATTTGAAGAATTTGGAGTAAGAATTGAGAAGGAGTGATCCTTGGGCATGTGCGGTCTGTGTCTCTTCAGGACACTCGGTGAACTGTGGGTGCTGTGTGCTCCCCGTGGGTGCTGTGTGCTCCCTCTGGGTGCTGTGTGTTCCCCGTGGGTGCTATGTGTTCCCTGTGGGTGCTGTGTGCTCCCTGTGGGTGCTGTGTGTTCCCTCTGGGTGCTGTGTGTTCCCTCTGGGTGCTGTGTGTTCCCTCTGGGTGCTGTGTGTTCCCTCTGGGTGCTGTGTATTCCTTGTAGGTGCTGTGTGTTCCCTGTGGTGTCTGGCTGTCTGATGAGCTGCCCCCTTGTGGTCCCGTAGTCCAGACCCTGTGCTAAGGAACGGCTCAGCATTGACTCACTGGATGGATTTGGTTCAAGGAGATTACAGCATGTTCACAGCAGGAAGGCTGAGGCAGACCTGGGTATAGGAGAGCAAGTTCGTGTGTGTCGAACAGGCAGGGAACTGTTGTGCAGAGGAGGGATTTGGCTGTTGCTGGATGAAATGCCCTCAATCAGCTTCATTTACAAAAGTTGGAAAATTAAATCACCTTCGAGTTTAAGATTTGAACTTTTTACGTTTACAGGCTTCATTTATTTTAGTTTAGTTGTTTAGTTATGAGGTCTGGTGTAATAGCTCAGTGGCTAAATCCTCACCTTGCCCATATTTGGATCCCGTATGGGTATTGGTTCATATCTTGGTTGCTCCATTTCCCATCCAGCTCCCTGCTTGAGGCATGGGAAGCAGTGGAGGACGGCCCAGGACTTTGGGACCCAGAAGAAGCTTGGTCACATCACATCAGTACAAGCTGCAGCAGCCAGGTGCTCTCTTCAATATTTATATATATATATACTTTTAAGATTTTTTTTTTTTATCGTAAAGGCGGATACTACAAAGAGGACAGAGAGGAAGATCTTCCGTCTGATGTTTCACTCCCCAAGTGAGTGCAACAGTTGGTGCTGAGCTGATCCAAGGCCTGGAGCCAGGAGCTCTTCCAGGTCTCCCATGCAAGTGCAGGGTCTCAAGGCTGTGGGCCGTCCTCAACTGCTTTCCCAGGCTACAGGCAGGGAGCTGGATGGGAAGCAGGGCCGCCGGGATTAGAACTGGCGACCACATGGATCGCGGCGCGTTCAAGGTGAGGACTTTAACTACTATACTATCACGCTGGACCCTTCAAAATATTTTGAAAGGCTGTGTGTGTGTGTGTGTGTGTGTGTGTGTGTGTGTGTATACTAGGTTTGGGGGAGAGAGAAACAGGTGGAGAGAGATCCCCCATCCATTGGTTCACTTCCCAAATGCTTCCAATGGCCTGAGCTGGAGCCAGGGCCTGGAGCGCCATCCAAGCTTTTGGTGTAAGTGACACAGACCCAAGTACTTGGGCCATCACCACTGCCTCTGGGGGTGGACATGAACAGGAAGCTGGAATCAGTGGCGCCGGGCCTTGAACCCAGGCTTTCCTGTACGGAATGCAAATGTCCCAAGGAGTGTCTTCAGCATTGAGCCGACTGCTCACCTCTAGGTGGTCTTTAGCGCTTATCCCTCGACCCCTCCTGTGGCCTCTTATCCCACTCAGAGTTAATCCCAAAGCTCTTGAATCATCCACTCCTCACACCGCCCTCTGCTGTCCCACACTCTCCATCCAGCTCAGCCCAGCCACCCTGCTCTACCTCCTCAGGCCCCCTGAGGCCATCACAATGGCTCTGTGAAGAGGGCTGGCTTCCCTGCCTCTGGTCCAGGTGCTGCTGACACGCCACAGCTCTGTCTGACTCTGCACCTGCCACTGATGCCTCCACGTGTTTGGTTTTATCAGACTTCGCGACACTTCTTGGGACTTGAAGTTGAGTTCCACGCCTGTGCTCCTTGTCTGCCCCGTTAAGATGCTTGCTTCTTGGAAGATCTCGGTTCTTTTCCTCACCTGGAACCTTCCGGAATAGTGCTGGATGCACACAAGGCAGCCAGTAACTTAATACATGGTTGGATGAAAGCACTCGGTAAACGTTCATTTTGATTGGAATTGGCTCGTCCCCAGTGATGCTTTTTCCACTGAGTTTCTGTTACCAGTATGTGTCAACATTTTTCAAACTGAATAGCTGTAACGTTACCTAGTTCCTGAGAATAATATTGCATTTGTGGGAGGCCTTGTTTTCTCCTGCCCTTCATGCCTCATTTGCAACGACCAGCTGTGCCCTTCCAGTGACACCAAGGCGACCAAGGATTTGAACACGTGTGCACACATGAAAATGCACCCTGGTTTTCAGCCCAGTGTGGGTCTCCCATCATCCTGAGCTCTGGCGTTTCCAAATCTTAGTGCCAAGCCATAAGGCTGTCTTATTGCCTGAAGTTAAGAGGAGATTTGGCCATGATTTCAAGGGGGTGACATACTGGAGGAACCCCGATCTGGAGGGAAAAGCTGATTTCCAACAAAATTGGTTTGAGCCGTCAAAAACTGTGCCTTAACAAACCTGCCTTCTTGTTCACCAAGGGCAGTTCTCGAGCCTCCTCTGGGTTTGGGTTTCACAGTTCAAGACATGGAGCATCCTACACCTCCTGTGAAACCTTGACTGAGGGGAGAATTAGCTTGTAATCCTGACATAGCCTCCCATTGCAAAAGACGTTTGTTCTGAATGGCCCCTGTAATTTTGTGTTATTAAAGTGAGAACAAGAGAAGTGAGCCATCAGGCCATTTGCAGTAGTGACCACACTGCTGTTTAATTGCACTGCTGAGGATTCTACTTGAGCTCCAGCCTTGCATCTCTGGCAGTTAGGGTCAAGTGTCCAGCAATACTTGGTGGGCAGGGGCTGGTTGTGGTGGTGGGTACACAATGAAACACACCCTTTGCTGTCCCACTGGGCTTGCCCATAACACACAAGTTCAAAGAGAAAATCTTGGAGAAATTCAGCATGATCCCACGAGTGTGGTGTCTGTGGCATCTGAGACCATTCCCTGCCAGTGGATGCTTGTCCTAGATTTTAATCCCACCCTGGAGGGTGCACCTGGGTTCTGGACCCCATCCTAGCAGGGTGAGCATGGACCCTGGCCGTGGACACATCGCAGGTATGTGCTGCAGCAGGCTCAGGGCTCTTGGGCGCTTTGCTGCACAGCAAATCTGAGCAGCTTTCAGAGAGCTCCTGGGAAATGGAATCCAAGTATCCAATTATTCTGATGCAAAAATATGTGTGAAACTCATGCGTAGGAGGGATCTGCAGGTTGCTGGAGAATGTGTATTATGCAAAAAAAAAAAATTTAATGAGTAAATTTCAAATTTTCTGCACCAAAATGGAAGTCTTTCAATTCCACTTTTCCCCACAAACTTTCTGAAGTGCCCTCATGCAACTGATATCTCTTGCTCAGCACCATCCTTCTCATCAACCGGTGTTCTTCAAGCAGCGCTCTAGGCTAAGAGACACCGTAGGTGGTGGGTGGAGAATACCATGATGGGATGAGGGCAGATGATGGAAGGAAATCTAGGGCCGTGCCAGTCTGCAGGTGCAGGCTCCCTGGCACCACCTGAGCAGCTCTGTGAAGCACTCCCTGGACAGTGGGCCTTGACCTTGCTACCTCCACAGGTGTCCTTGTTTGCTTTGCTTTCTCAATCTCAAGCACCTGTGACGCAGGCATGATGCCTTTCTGACCTTCTAGGTTGCCCTGGTGAAATGTCCCTTCCTGTCTGATGACACTAACTGCGCACCCAATGGAGCCAGGCCTCTCGCTGGGTTAGTCATCTTTCTGTTCCTAAAACAGTGTTCAGGACAGCTGCTCAGAGAGGCAGGCGGCTCACTGTGGCTCACAATTTTGGATGTTCGCAGCTGGAGATCGTGGAGGAGGGTTTGGAAGCTTGGTATGGTATTCCCACTGCAGAATCCCACAGTGGTGCAGGGCAGCCGGGAGCATGGGTCTCTCTATATAGCCTTGGGTCTCAGACTTAGGGTTTCACCCCGAGAATCCAATCCAATCCACTTCCTGTGGGTCCCACTGCAGACACCACAACTCGATGACGCTTCCACCTTCTTTGCACCCTTAAGACTTTGTGGTCTTAGCAGATGAGCCCACCAGCAGTCATCCTACCCAAGTGTGTGAACCATCACATTCTCACTTGGGGGTGGCATGGAGGCACAGCTGGTGAAGAAGCCACGGTGATCAAGAGACAGGATGAAAGGGTGTGGAGTGAAGGTGGCTCTGGAAGCCACAGCCCTGTGTGGGAAATGAGGGCAACCGGGGAGGGGGGAGTCAGGGGACTCCAGAGTCTAAGAGGGCAGCAGGGCTCTGGGCACTCTGCAGGCAGCGTTGGCACAAGGGTGGCTCTCATGAACACCATATGTCCTCATGTCAGAGACCCTCGCCACAAGCTCTACGGAGGAGCAGGTGATCTTGTGGCAAACCAGTAGAGTTGATATGGCCAGGTCTGCTGCCCAGGGTCCTATGGGACTGGAGCAGGACTCACCTGGTCTGCACGATGGAACCTTCTGCAGAATGCTTCAGTGTGGTCTGTGGGAGCCACACGAGGCTACCGAGTAAAAAGGATATGAGTAGGGTCGCCAAGGAGGTGAACACTGATTTTGATTGCATTTTAGTTGATTCAAATCTTCACAGCTGTATGTGGCTGCTGCCTCTCCTGTAACGGGCCCAGGCCTAAATTCGTGTTGGCTGATCTCGGGCCGACGTCATGTAGTTTTGGTTAGAGTGGAA